AGCGATTCTCCTGCCTCAGCCTCCCAAGTAGCTGGGACTACTGGTGTGTGCCACCATGCCCAGCTAATTTTTGTATTTTTAGTAGAGACGGGTTTTCACCATGTTGGCCAGGATGGTCTCGATCTCTTGACCTCATGATCCGCCCGTCAAAGGCCTTTTTCTAAAGCTAAAAGAAAAAAAAGACCCAGTTTCACTCATCAACACTGAAGGTACTGATCCTTCAGTACCTGAGGTAGTCAGGCAGGCCTGGGGTTCAGAGGTCCCAAGGTATTTACTTCTTGAGTCAGCATCTCATCTGCTTTTCCATGTGCCTTACAATCATGAAGAACGTCATACAACTAGAGTACCTCATAATTGTGGGCACATGGAAACACTGAATTTCAGGACAATATGACACCAGCAGCTGAATGATTAGAATAGGAGAGCTCTGGTTGCCAGCAGTATGGAAAGAAAAGTTGGGGATCTCCAGGAAACAGAAGGAGCAAAGCAATCATATTTGAAAATCCTGGTGAGCAATTAAGGAAAAAGAGAAGTCTAAGATCTCTTTTTCCAAACTGAAGTCCACAAGCTGTTTAAAACAAAATCTACCATGATGATGTTCCTTACTCTAGGCTTCGGTTTGTTATACAGTATTATTAGTTTGAAGTTGGCTAGAAGTAGTTAAAAGCATCAAAAGGCTTAGCCAAAACCTAGCCAAGTTTTGCTGATTTTTGTTTCTTTTATAAAAGGCTGATCAACAGGCCTCAATTCATTAAGATAAAGAAATTAAGGATCAATCTCTTTTAAACAATCTATGACAAAGACACAAGTGAATTTGATGAACATAAGGAGGGAATCTTTATGGAAAGGATAACAAAAATTTAAGAAAGATGGAAGGAAAAAGTCAAGGAAGGACAGAAAAGGGAAAGGGTGTAGATAATCAGTAATTTACCAGCTTTACCAGAGCACAACCAGCGCCTCGAAAAGCCAGTCTCCTCATTATGTCTGAAAGCCAAGTGAAGCCAGTGGGAGAAGGAAGGGCTTTAGAAGTGCTGATTCAGTGTTAGTATATTCAAAACTGAAAAAGAAGAACAAGAGAAGGGGGAAATAGAAAAGAAGGGTCAGGAGTAAAAATGAGTACAAACAGATAGAAAACATTCAAATAGAACTGCTAAAGGAAGATAAAGAGAACTGGAGAAACCAGGCATATCAGTTCTCTTTTATCTATCAAACAAACTGCTGCAAAGGCTCAGACACTAACAGTACCTGACAGTTCTTCCATTTTAAAACCAAATGCTTTCATGTTTAAAGATGTCTCATTGAGGTTCCCCTTTACTCACATTAAGAATGACTGTCAATTCCAGGAATGAAGCATGCCTGCCCAACTGCCCCCTAGTCAATAAGAGCAGAGTTCAATCACAGAGCTGGAATGGAGAGTGAATACATGTGGGAGGCTCACATGTGACACCAAGTGTTGGCAAGCTGGAACAAACCAAGAATGGCTCATGTGAGCAAAAGGTCTGGAAAACACCCTCCCCCACAAAAAAAAATTCAGAGAAAGAACATTTATTTTCAAAAGTCCTATCTGCATTGGAGACACCATATAAAAATCTGACAAGGTTAAAAAAAAAAAAAAAAGCCGACCATTTTGGCAGGAGTTCAAAATTACTTTTATAAATAATCCACTGAAAATCAAATGACAAAAAACATAAATTATCAGCATGTGTATGTCATTCAGATGATACAATATCCCAATATCCTTGAATCATTAATTTACTTTGGTAAGACAAGAAAAAGTTTCAACTTAAGGATAATTTTCAAGTATTTTCTTATCCATGGGACACATTTTTAAATATATTTTGAAAGTTTAACAAGAAAGGCAATGTTATGAGGTAGGAGAAACAACAGGACCTTTGCTCATAAGACCAGAATAGGAGTCCTAAGTCTTCCACCTCTGATTATCAGCTTGATGTTGTCTCAGATTTGTTTCTTCATCTCTAAAATGAGAACGTAATGCCAGGTGTGGTGGGTCATGCCTGTAATCCCAGCACTTTGGGAGGCTGAGGCAGGTGGATTACCTGAGGTCAGGAGATCAAGACCATCCTGGGTAACACAGTGAAACTCCGTCTCTACTAAAAATACAAAAAAATTGGCTGAGCGTGGTGGCACACACCTATAATCCCAGCTACTCAGGAGACTGAGGCAGGAGAATCACTTGAACCCGTGAGGCAGAGGTTGCAGTGAGCCAAGATGGCACCACTGCACTCCAGCCTAAGCGACAGACCAAGACAGTCTCAAAAAAAAAAAAAAAAAATTTAGCTGGGTGAGGCAGCGCATGCCTGTAAACCCAGCTACTCGGGAGGCTGAGGCACGAGAATTGCTTGAACCCAGGAGGCATAGGTTGCAGCAAGCCGAGATCGTACCACTGCACTCCAGTGTGGGCGACAGAGCAAGACCCTGTCTCAAGAATAAAAAAAAAAAAAAAAGACATAAAGTGAAATCACTTCTGCAAGTTCCCCAGGCACAGGAACAGCATATTCATTTTTGTAGACCTGTCTTACAGAACAGTATTTGGTATAGGTTAGGTGCTCAATTTATCTTTTAGTAAATGTATTAAAAGTGCACTTAGGGCCAGGCACAGTGGCTCACGCCTGTAATCCCAGCAATTTAGGAAGCTGAGGTGGGCAGATAACCTGAGGTAAGGAGTTCAAGACCAGCCTGGCCAACATGGTGAAACCCCGTCTCTATCAAAAATACAAAAAATTAGCTAGGCGAGGTGGTGGCATGGGCCTGTAATCCCAGGTACTCGAAAGGGTGAGACACAGGAATTGCTTGAACCTGGGAGGCAGAGATTGCAGTGAGCCAGGATCGTGCCACTGCACTCCAGGCTGGGGGACAGAGTAAGACTCTGTCTCCAAAAAAAAAAAGAGAAAGTGCACTTGAGTGCGACCTTTAAAAAAAAAAAAAAGCTTTATTTGCATAGTTTATAAGGCCTCAGCCAGGCACAGGGTCTCATATCTGTAATCCTAGCACTTGGAGAGGTTGAGGCAGGATGACCGCTTGAGGCAGAGGGTTCAAGACCAGATTGGACAACACAGATTGACCTTGTCTCTACAAAAATAAAAATTAGCTGGGTGTGGTGCTGCACATCTGTAATCCCAGCCAGTCGGGATGCTGAAGTGAGAGGACTGCTTGAGCCTAGGAGCACAAGGCTTCAGTGAGCCATGATCACTTTACTGAACTCTAGCCTGGGCAACAAAGTGAGACCTTGTCTCAAAAAAAAAAAAAAAAAAAAAAAAGCCTGTAAGCATCCCTTCAGCAATTTTGTTTTTCCATGAAGAGGAAAGGCAGATTCCAGAGTTCAATTCCAATTTTTAAAATGGCCTTGATTACAGTTACAAGTTCGAGAGTCTGACAATCAATAATTTATAGTGGCAGTTAAGAATACTTAATAATGTGCAACTGGAAGAATATCAACTTAGTATAGACAAACGGTGTATTTCAACTGTTTACGAACTTTAGCCCTCTCCTGTATTTCTAGTAATATTTAGCAATACAATATATGCCTAAAACAAAATCTTGGAAAACAGGACTCAAAGGAAAAAAACACCTATAAATCTACTTCCAAGAAAAAACCACTTTTAACGTTGTCATTCACAGTTTTTTGGTATTTATGCCTTAGTTACCTATTATTTTTTACCAAAATGTTAACAAACCACATATTTTACAGCCTGTGTTTTAGTGAAGATTCTTCCAAGTCAACATTCTTCCTCATGATGTTTGATGACTTGATAGTAATCTATCATACAGATATACCACAATTTACTTATCTTGGGAATTTTGGTAGGATATTAACATTTGAGGTATTTTGTACATTCCCAAAGCCAAAGAAAGCGGTCAAGGCCCTTCCATTCATCCACACATAACTCTTTATTGTTTTAATTTGAAACACCTCTTCAAAACATATTTTCCAATCTTCCATTTTGGAGCTCAAAATCAAATATGGGCGACCTGTAAGTAATAAAGCAAAAATTATGCTACTCTTTTATGTGCATGAGTCCAATATGCACTTTTTGGGGAAAAGCACATAGCCAAATGGAGAAAAAAAAAACACCTAAAATTATTTGTCAAGAGTCCTAATGTGTTGGAAAGTAAGTTAAAACATTTTACCCCAACATATGCTTCTATAACTACTGTAAGAATTTCTATATCCACTATACCGTGTACTTATTTTTCAGGACTTTTTCCATAGTTTTGCAACTCTTTCTGCCCCTTTAAATTAAAACTTATTATAATAACAAAACTGTGCTTCCCCAAACCAAGAAATATACACAGTTCCCAAAAACCCGGAATCTTTGTGGTGTTGAGATGAGAAGCTGAAATATCTGGCCTCTACTATACAAGTCCCATTGATTAAAACACCCGGAAAAAATACGGAAAGAAAATCAGTAAGAGTTTGTGTCGAACCGCCAAGAAACAACAACAAAAAAAAGAGGCCCTGAGCAACGGAGGAAATGAAGGACTTTCCCGACCTGTCACTGGTATTGGGGGCTGAGGGAAACGTTGACAGCTTTGAAGCTGCCCCGCGACGAGCGGGAAAGAGGAGGGCGGGGAGTTTCCGGGCCTTAGTGCGCCTTTGTCCCAGCCGGCAGGTGCGACAAAGCTACTGGGCCCATCGGGAGGCCCGCCGCCGCGCCCCGCCCAACCCCGCGCGCCCGGCCCGACCGGCGCGTCCCCACAGCCGGGGCGGGGCCTCCGCGGCGGCTCCCGCCCGCCCGGGCCCACACAAAGGCCCGGCAGCTGGTCGAGGGGGAGCGGCCCCACCCGCCCTGGGCCCGGCCTTACCCAGCCGCTCCGCCGCCTGCAGCCCCGGCCGCGGTCACTGACCGCCGCGCCCCGCCCCGTGGCCGCCACGGCTGCTACTATTGCTCCTCCGGCCGCGGCCGCTGCCGTCGCTCGGGCACCCGCCGCCCTCACCTCCCTTACCCCTCCCGGTGCCGCCGCAAAACCAGTCCCGCGGCCGCCAAGCGATCCCTGCTCCGCGCGACACTGTGTGCGCGCGCACGCAGAGAGGCGGTGACGCACTTTACGGCGGCAGCGTAAGTGCGTGACGCTCGTCAGTGGCTTCACTTCACACGTGGCGCTAGTGGAGGCAAGGTGTTGTGCTCGTGCCGCTTTCTACAACCAACATGAAGCGGCCTAGTAAGTGGGGTCGGGAAGCGGGCGTGGAGGGACCCATGTCTGGAAGTTGCTGCAGCCACCACGACGCTCTTTTACGGCTACGGCTTTGTCTCTGCTGGTATAGGGGTGAGAGCCTACGCGTAGGCTTTGGCCCTATTTCCTCGTAGGACCGAGAGTTGGAAGTCCCTACGGCGATCATGTTAACCGCGCGGGCTCATTCTGTGGAACGAAGACGGGCAGAGGGTGGGAAAGACTAGGCTAGATTTTCCTTTTTTTTTTTTTTTTTGAGACGGAGTCTCGCTCTGTGGCCCAGGCTGGAGTGCAGTGGCCAGATCTCAGCTCACTGCAAGCTCCGCCTCCCGGGTTCACGCCATTCTCCTGCCTCAGCCTCCCGAGTAGCTGGGACTACAGGCGCCCGCCATCTCGCCCGGCTAGTTTTTTGTTTTTTTAGTAGAGACGAGGTTTCACCGAGTTAGCCAGGATGGTCTCGATCTTCTGACCTCGTGATCCGCCCGTCTCGGCCTCCCAAAGTGCTGGGATTACAGGCTTGAGCCACTGCGCCCGGCTAGGCTAGATTTTCGTAAGGAAGTAGCTTCTGAGCCAGGTTTCAGGCCCAATATCATCTTTTCCGTGGCCACGTGCAGGCTGGCCCAGGTGAGAGCTGAGAATCGCCTCCCAGACTCAGTGTTCCTCTCCTGCCTTATGATTCGTGCTGTTTGACACAAAGTGGCTGTCGTTTTGGGTCTCATAAATGCTCGTACACGCTGCTGTGTATGATCCCATTCTGATATTGTAAGAGTAGGTGCAGGGAACTTGGACTCCGTTCTGGATCTACTGAATCTAATTCTCTGGAATTTGAAAGTGGCATGTATGTTTGCATTAGGCATTTCGCATTAGTCTTAACGTTAGGTTTGGCAGCCAATAACACGAGAAAAGGAAATAACTCCATAGTGCGTTAACCCAGAACTAATCATTTGCGTTAACAGATTTGTGATGTTTCTTTGTAGAGTTAAAGAAAGCAAGTAAACGCATGACCTGCCATAAGCGGTATAAAATCCAGAAAAAGGTAAGTGTAGTGCTTGAGAGAGCTATACTAAACACACTGCTAAACTGATTTTGCCCTGTTCCTTTGTGGGAAAGTCCGGGTTAATGTGATTTGGTTTCGGGAAATGGCATTGGATAGACTGACCATGGGCACGAGCTCTTAGGCATCAGGAGTGCAGCTATGAGAAAGTGCAGTGATTTGGTGATAAGTCTCTAAATTTGTTCAACATGTTAATCTCTGCATAGAGAGCCTTCTAGTTACATTTTCTTACTGTTTTATACTTACCTATGCATTACTTTGTAAGATTTCAACTAAAGCTCCATTTTCCTATTACATTTTATAGGCATAACTAAATTGCAGCCAGATTGGTTTCTCACTTGAATTCTGCTTAAGTATAAAGATATTTTTGTAAGTAGACAAAATCTCTTTAATAGGTTCGAGAACATCATCGAAAATTAAGGAAGGAGGCTAAAAAGCGGGGTCACAAGAAGCCTAGGAAAGACCCAGGAGTTCCAAACAGTGCTCCCTTTAAAGAGGCTCTTCTTAGGGAAGCTGAGCTAAGGAAACAGAGGGTAAGTTATGTTAGCCAGAATTTTCAATGAGTGGTATAGTGTGTTATGTGTGATATTTTTCAGAGTAAGGTAACAACACTAGTCACTGGTTCATCTATTTCCCTTATGGCTCTGACACAGCTTGAAGAACTAAAACAGCAGCAGAAACTTGACAGGCAGAAGGAACTAGAAAAGAAAAGAAAACTTGAAACTAATCCTGACATTAAGCCATCAAATGTGGAACCTATGGAAAAGGTATGATTAGGTGTCTTTATGAATGAGAGATCAGGGGTTTTGATTTTGTTTTTGTTGCTTGGGCCTGAGTGCAGTGGCACAATCACAGCTCACTGCAACCTCGACCACCCAGGTTCAAGCAGTCTTACCACCTCAGTCTCTGAGTAACTGGGACTACAGAAGCACACCATCATGCCTGGCTAATTTTTTTTAGTAGACAAGGGCTTTCACTATATTGCCAAGGCTGGTCTCAAACTCTTGGACTCAAGTGATCCACCCACCTCAGCCTACCAGTTTCTGGTATTACAGGTGTGGGCTGTTGCACCTGGCTGAGAGATGAGTTCTGGTGCAGAAATAAAAGCACATCTACAGGCTGCTGAGCTTCTTGGGAGTAAGACAACTGAGTTCAGACTCCATCTTACCTATTTAACAACTGCAAGTGCTGCTACTCAGCTGTGGAAAATGGAGATAGAGGTTACAACTGCTCTACTTCTAATTTTGTGTCTTTTCCCCCTTTATCCTCTAGGCATTTGGGCTTTGCAAAACTGAGAACAAAGCCAAGTCAGGAAAACAGAATTCAAAGAAGCTGTACTGCCAAGAACTTAAAAAGGTATCTTAGCCTAGGTCAGTGTCTGACAGTAGTAATGAGGTTTAAAAGACTCAAGTCATTTTTTTTTAAACCTTTTAAGATCAAGGGTACATGTGCAGGTTTGTTACATAGGTAAACTTGTGTCGTGGGGGTTTGTTGTACAGATTATTTCATCACCCAGGTATTAAGCCTAGTACCAATTAGTTACCTTTCCTGATCCTCTCCCTCCTCCCACCTTCCACCAACAAATCATTTCGTGACTCAACTCTAACTTATGCTGTTTAAGCCTTTCCTGCTATGTTTACCTGACAGAAATAGTGTCTTTGGTTCTAAATATTTGCACAAAACTGGTTCTGCCTGTAAGCATGATTTACAACATTTTTTTAAAAAATGTTGACATAGTGTTGAGATTGAGAAAAGTACTTTGGAGTAAGCAATGTCAGGCTAAGGGTCTCTAAAGTACTCTGTTGAAACCTAAGTGAAAGAGGACAAGAGGGTACTGTCTCCTTGGTGTAGTTGCTCTCCAGCACTCCCATCCCCAACATCCATTTTCCCAAGCTCACTCCCCCGTGGATAGAACCTGACTGCCCCTCAGCAGCTTTTGGCAAGGCCAGAGGGACCTACCAAACTACATAATTCACTATGGGAGGATTCAGACAGGGATATTTTAATTTTTGAAATCCATCTTAATCAGAGGCCTATGTTTTACTTTCCTGTGTGAGAAATGATGAGGGTCAACATTCTTCATACCAAAGTGAAGACATGAGATCCAACTCTGAGCTCACCCTGTTGCCAAATGGATAATGTCAGTACTCTCTTGTTGAAGGTATTACCAGAGCAAGGGATGTCGTTCTGGTCATTTTTTACTTAATAGGTGATTGAAGCCTCCGATGTTGTCCTAGAGGTGTTGGATGCCAGAGATCCTCTTGGTTGCAGATGTCCTCAGGTAGAAGAGGCCATTGTCCAGAGTGGACAGAAAAAGCTGGTACTTATATTGAATAAATCAGGTGAGTAAAGAGGGTACCCTTTGTCTTCCATGTACATTGGTGAGGTATGAGGATACAGTCTAATAGTCACTGAAGACTGATTAGATCCAACTCTGACCTCAGCACAGCCAAAGTACGTGCACTTTGCCAGAGACAGTGCTAGTCAGTGGGGAGGAGGGGATTTTTACAACTGACTCAACTGGTTTCTACTGTTCTTTTGCCATTCAGTATTTACTGTCTTTTAAATAAGAGTGTAAGCTGTTATACCCAGTTAAGTGTAGTATATTTCATCTAGGAAGTGATGACAGTGTGACAAATTCCCCACACCTACACAATGTCGGGTATTAGTTCAAGAGTGAAATAAATTGGAACGTATGTGACAAAATATTTAAATGAAATGCATAATTATGCATCTGAGTTTCAGCAGCAGGAACAAGAAAACCCAGAACAGAGAATTACAAAGCAGAAAATGGGAATGAAATCTAAAATTATTTTTGGGGTTAAGAAACAATTGGCTGTTTGGAAGGCTGAAGCAGGCAGATCACTTGAGGCCAGGAGTTCGAGAAAAGCCTGGCCAACATGGCGAAACCCCATCTCTACTAAAATACAAATATTAGCCGGGTATGGTGGCGGGCACTTGTAGTCCCAGCTACTTGGGAGGCTGAGGCAGGAGAATTGCTCGAACCCAGGAGGCGGAGGTTGCAGTGAGCCAATACCATGCCACTGCACTCCAGCCTGGGCAACAGAGCAAGATTCCGTCTCAAAAAAAAAAAAAAAAAATTGAATGAATAAAAACAATTGGCTGCTAGCTAAAGGTAAATTCTGGAAACATAGCTCTAGGGTTAGTAGGTTTGTAATCCAGACGTTGAGTCTGTTCTGAAATTTTTGAGTGAGCAATACAAAGGGAATTGAAATAGAGAAGTGTAGATGCTGAGCTCTGTTAAGATACGGGCAGCATGGTAGGGGAGCTTGCCCTGCCCTAATTTTCTAGTTAAATCCTTTTGAAAAGACTGGGAAAATGTAAACCAGAGTAAAATCTATAGTTGCCAGATTTTGAAATGCATCTCAACAAAATAGTGAAATTGGAGCAAATGTCTTACTTCTTTTGTTGAGACGGAGTCTAACTCTGTCACCCAGGCTGGAGTGCAATGGCACAATCTCGGCTCACTGCAAGCTCCGCCTCTTGGGTTCACGCCATTCTCCTGCTTCATCCTCCCTAGTAGCTGGGACTACAGGCGCCCACCACCACGCCCAGCTAATTTTTTTGTATTTTTAGTAGAGACGGGGTTTCACCGTGTTAGCCAGGATGGTGTCGATCTCCTGACCTCATGATCCGCCCGTCTCAGCCTCCCAAAGTGCTGGGATTACAGGCGTGAGTCACCGCGCCTGGCCGCAAATGTCTTGTTTCTAATTCCTATCAGATCTGGTACCAAAGGAGAATTTGGAGAGCTGGCTAAATTATTTGAAGAAAGAATTGCCAACAGTGGTGTTCAGAGCCTCAACAAAACCGAAGGATAAAGGGAAGATGATAACCAAGGTATCCTTTATTAGTAGTAAGATGTGTGGTTCTTTCAGATTTTGGTTGAAATATGATGAGTGTACAAAATCTTGATTTAAATAAATGAAAAATTACAAGATCCAACTCTGATTTCAGCCAGAGATAATCTGAAAGGCAGTGTAGTTAGTTTAAGAGCTGGGCTCTGGAGCCTGATTGCTTGGGGTTTGTTAAAATGATTTTTCAGGTAAGTTGCCAGAATAATTCAACTATTTGGAATTTTAGCGTGTGAAGGCAAAGAAGAATGTTGCTCCATTCAGAAGTGAAGTCTGCTTTGGGAAAGAGGGCCTTTGGAAACTTCTTGGAGGTTTTCAGGAGACTTGTGGCAAAGCCATTCAGGTTGGAGTAATTGGTGAGTTTCAGTTAATTACTTTTTACTTTTTAATTGTTGAAATAGTTAAGTTTAGCCAGCTCTCCAAGTGCCCAAGCAGCAGTGTATGGAGTTGTTGTCAAGTAAAAGGCTCACTCAAATACTAGCTTCTTGCCTATACCTTACTAAAAGCACATAACCACACACAATTTAAAGAAGAAAACTTATACAACTGTTGGCCGGGCACGGTGGCTCACGCCTGTAATCCCAGCACTTTGGGAGACCAAAGCGGGTGGGTGACGAGGTCAGGAGATTGAGACTGAGACCATCGTGGCTTACACGGTGAAACCCCGTCTACTAAAAGTACAAAAAGTTAGCCGGGCGTGGTGGTGGTCTCCTGTCCCAGCTACTAGGGAGGCTGAGGCAAGAGAATGGCCCAGGAGGCGGGGCTTGCAGTGAGCCCAGATGGCGCCACTGCACTCCAGCCTGGGCGACAGACTCATCTCAAGAGAAAAGAAATAAAGAAAACTTACACAACTGCTCCAGATTCAGGTTTTTTGTTGGAACTGATTACTATAGGAAGCTGGTTTCTAAAAGCTCTTGGTTTGTTTGAATTTACAGTATTTTCCTGCCTTTTCATTACTTGTGCAAAAAATGAAGAAACTAAAATTGGCCTTAGTATTGAAGTGAAGACACAGATCCAACTCTGATCTTGCCCTAAACATCAGGGAAATGGAAAATTAGGCAGTGAGAATTTCATGAGTGCCAACATATAATGCTTTTTATATCTGGATTTCCCATTTATTTGTAGGTTTCCCAAATGTGGGGAAAAGCAGCATTATCAATAGCTTAAAACAAGAACAGATATGTAATGTTGGTGTATCCATGGGGCTTACAAGGTAAATGGAGGTGTCCATAATTGTAATATTACTAGTGACACACTGTTTTATTTTAGTTATCTCAAGGAAAGTGATTTTTTTTTTTGAGACAGTTTCGCTCTTGTTGTCCAGGCTGGAGTGCAATGGTGCAGTCTCGGCTCACTGCAACCTCCACCTCTCAGGTTCAAGCGATTTTCCTGCCTCAGCCTCCCGAGCGGCTGGGATTACAGGCATGTGCCCCCACACCTGGCTAATTTTGTATTTTTAGTAGAGACGGGTTTCTCCATGTTGGTTAGGCTGGTCTTGAACTCCTGACCTCAGCTGATCTGCCCGCCTTGGCCTCCCAAAGTGCTGGGATTACAGGTCAAGCCACCGCGCCTGGCCTAATTTTTTTTAAAGCTTTTGGTGAAAGAAGAGATTTAAGCCAGTGCTAGGCTTGGGGAAAAACTGATTGGAGTGGGACAGCTGCCCACAATTCAGTTTGAAAGACAAGTTAAGCAAATAGATAGAGAGGAAAGCTCCCTCAGAGGAAGTGATGTTGGATCCTGGCCTTGAGAAATTAATAGAAATTTGCCAGCTAGAAGGCTGCCACCACACCTGGCTAGTTTTTGTATTTTTAGTAGAGATGGGGTTTCACTGTGTTGCCCAGGCTAGTCTCAAACTCCTGGCCTTAAGTGATCCACCTGCCTAGGCCTCACAAAGTGTTGGGATTACACTTTCGTTGGGTGGCATGAGCTACCGTGCCCTAGATCTTTTTTTTCTGAGACAGAGTCTCACTCTGTCTCCCAGGCTGGAGTGGTGCTATCTTGGCTCACTGCAACCTCAGCCTCCTGAGTAGCTGGGATCACAGGCACCCGGCTAATTTTTGTATTTTTAGTAGACAGCGCTTTCACCATGTTGGCCAGGCTGGTCTCGAACTCCTGACTCAGGTGATCCACCCGCCTCAGCCTCCCAGAGTGCTGGGATTACAGGCATGAGCCACCGCACCCGGCCAGAAGGTGGCGTATTTATAGCAAAGGAAATAGCATGTGTTTTGGTTGACGTAAACATATAAGCTGTAACATGCAGTGTTTCTCTTTAGAACAGTTGGGTATGCTGTTACAGTTTTAGATAAATGTGAAGCAAATGATGATAAACTGGATCTGACTGACTGTGCTGAGTCTGTTCAATCCAACTCTGAGCTTCATGTTCTCTTACCTTCCAAATAAACCAATGCCCCCATCAATTCCATCTCTCTTCTTTCAGGAGCATGCAAGTTGTCCCCTTGGACAAACAGATCACAATCATAGATAGTCCAAGCTTCATCGTATCTCCACTTAATTCCTCCTCTGCACTTGCTCTGCGAAGTCCAGCAAGTATTGAAGTAGTAAAACCGATGGAAGCTGCCAGTGCCATCCTTGCCCAGGCTGATGCTCGACAGGTAAAAACCCCTTCTCATGAGCTCCTTGGAGCCATTTTCTTTCATCATAAGCATTTTCAGTAGAAAAATTTTGGAAGTTTTTTAAAGTACTGATGTGTCAGAGGAAGGACAGTTCTTTTTTTTGTTTGTTTTTTAAGGTAGTACTGAAATATACTGTCCCAGGCTACAGGAATTCTCTGGAATTTTTTACTATGCTTGCTCAGAGAAGAGGTATGCACCAAAAAGGTGGAATCCCAAATGTTGAAGGTGCTGCCAAACTGCTGTGGTCTGAGTGGACAGGGTAAGCTTTCTTTTCTGTTGGCATTTTGGTGACCACTAGAATAAACCTCCTTTTGACATATCTTATTTTTAATATCAGTGCCTCATTAGCTTACTATTGCCATACCCCTACATCTTGGACTCCTCCTCCATATTTTAATGAGAGTATTGTGGTAGACATGAAAAGGGACTTCAATCTGGAAGAACTGGAAAAGAACAATGCACAGAGCATAAAAGGTGAGAATTGTGTGTCACTGCTGTCTTCATCAGTTGACAGGCCAATAGAGGTCTTATCTGTTCACATGGGCTTTGTTTCTTCCCCAGCCATCAAGGGTCCTCATTTGGCCAATAGCATCCTTTTCCAGTCTTCTGGTCTGACAAATGGAATAATAGAAGAAAAGGACATACATGAAGAATTGCCAAAACGGAAAGAAAGGAAGCAGGAGGAGAAGGAGGATGACAAAGACAGTGACCAGGAAATTATTGATGAAGAAGTTGATGTAAGTGTGTCCTCCATGAGTTGTTTAAAACTGAAGTGAGTTTTCTAGCATTATAATACATAATGGGAAAGAACTGAAGATAGGAAATATTTGAGGCTTGTGATCCGTTAGCCTTAATCTTATATATCCCGTTATATGTACCTCCAAAGAGTTAATTTTTTCAGGTACATAACTATTTGGATTAAATGAGCAAGACAAGGGCTACTAATCCAGTACCATTTTTCTTTGTCACACAGGAAAAGAGCTCAGGCATGTTTGCTGCAGAAGAGACACGGGAGGCACTGTCTGAGGAGTCTACAGCAGGTAAGGCAGGCAAAAGGAGTTCTTCTAACAAAGCAGCATGGTGTAGAATCACTTTGACTTTTTGAAAATCTCTTTTTATTTTCCTGCAATATAGGTGAACAGTCTACAAGGTCTTTTATCTTGGATAAAATGATTGAAGACGATGATGCTTATGACTTCAGTACAGATTATGTGTAACAGAACCATGTCTTTTTTTATGAGTTTTTTTTTTTTTAACATTCTAAGCAGACTGCTAAACTTCTATGTATAATGTGTGTAAGTTATGGTATGCATGAGCTGTGTAAATTTTGTGAATATGTATTGTATTAAAACCAGGCAATTTGGATCCCTAAATTCTATAAAAAGACAATTAATCTCATTGTGAGTGGAAGTAGTTATCTGGAATAAAAAAATACGATACCTATTGAAAAATGTTGTTTTATTTACAGATCAGGCCACAGGTTACAACAGCAGTTTTGAATTATCTGTACCAGCTAGCTGAACTAGCTATATCTGTTTTTCTTTCCAGTCATTCAGCATTGTAGTAAGAAAACACTTGGTAAGGCAGATGGAGACATATTTATAGTCTATAGTCTGTCTGGGAAGCTGACTTCCAGACAGGGCAGTTTGTCATCTTTACCCAGCTGACACATCTTTTTCCATGGCTTGCTACGATAGGCATTGAAGCCTAACAACTGTTACTTTGCATACATGCCATCTTCCAGGACTTCCTGAGAAATGCTTATAGTTTAAATTCTGTTTCACTTTATGTTTGAGATCTCGGTATATCTTCGGATTAGGTTGAATTTGCCTGTTGGGTCTGGAATATACCATTTTTCCCAAACATCAGTATACGAAGCAGTCCTTCCCCATGGCTTAAAATGTCCATTCCAATGGAGTAATTTGGCAGCCTTTACAAACTGAGGTGAATATCGTTTTCCAGCACTGGAACCTTGTATTTGAGACAAAAATAGGCACATCATTGTGCCATGTGAAATTGTGCAGAAAACTTAAGGGAAACAAAGAATATACCCCATCCCTGAGGATAGTTCTTTAGATACCAATTCTTTTGCTAGCTTATGCCACTGGTTAATTCTACTTACCAAGGTGGCGGACATTCCACATAGGATCGATGGTAGAGTGCTGTTGATAAAATACGATAAGCAGAGGAGGTGTTGTGATGCTACCAGCCAGGGTTCTGCTATACAATCCCTCTCTTGGTGGGACAGAAAACAAATGTTAGTGAAAAGTACTAACTCCTGTTAGTCACAACTCCCGGAATTGAAATACAACAGTTTTTCACAGCTCGGCCAGTTACATACTTACTCTACATTGAGTTTCATCCATTTTTCCAGTTGGTTAGTTATATTCTGTCGTTTCCATTCTGTCAGGTTTGCAACAAAAACTCCAGGATTAAATGAGCAAGTGCTGGCTTTCATGGAAAGCTTACGAATTCTTTCCTTTTTATAGTCAAGATAGCCAATGTAATTGTACTGAAAACAGATAGGATATATGTATTTACTGCTTCAAACAGAATAGATACAATTTTATAGCCAATAGAGAAAACAGCTGTTAAACTATGACTTCTTCAGATTAGATAATAGATACTTGAAATTCCAAGTTAGAATAGGAACCTAGATGTTGACATATTAAACCAGATGTTCAAGAAGAACAATTAGGCTGTCAAGTCCATGAAGAAGTCTACAGAAAAGCAGGCTTGAGTTTTGTGATGAAATGATTAGGGAGTGAGTGTAAATTGCAGCAAAAGAGTTCCCTGAATTTGCAACCTCTTCCCAATAAACGATATTGTAGGAAGAGGGATGTATGGTAAGCAATTTACCTGGTTTCCTGCTCCACGGATGACAACTTTAGTAGAAGCTGAATCACAATCTTCTGAAAATGCAGCTGCATGTCCTGGCTTCAGTGGTGTATTGTAAAGGGCAAGAATATCACCTGAAATAGACAAGATGTTAAGATTTACATTTCAGTTGCCTTGAGAGTTCCCTGTTACTCCCACTTCTCCCTATGGTGACCTTTTATAGAAGACCATAAATAAAACAACCACTATAGCCCACTGTAGCCCATTGTTTTATTTAGCAATTGTACTCAATCTGGGTGGAGAACAGCACTCATGGTAACATTTTTGATACCTTGCACAATTACATCATCATCCATGTATATGGCCTTCTTTGCGCTGGGAACCAGAATTGGCAAGTAGAACCTTGCAAAGGTTAACTGGAAAAGGAAAGAATAATTGGCATAGGATACTGCACTGGCTGTGCTTTTATTTACATAGAAACTCCTAGGATGCTTTCAGTACCCATTCAGGAGAAGAAAGGACTCTTAGAACCACCCAGGCTTGGTCCCCAGGAAACTACCTGCACTATATCCATAGACACCCAAGTATTCCATTATTTCCTAATACTGCCAAGTACAAAGAAGGATGCATGGAACTCACAGGTTTCATGGATTCCCCCTGGTCAGGATCCTCCTTTACTTTCCCTTCCAAAAGTTTAGGGTCAAAATTGACAATTTTGTATCTGATACTTTTCAGGGAATCACTGTTGAGCCAGGACCTGATGAAGATAAAACACTAAATTTTAGTTTCAAATAATGTCTCCAAACCAATAAGGGAATAATGCAAAAGAAACCCTATGGACCAAATAGGTGTTTACAAGCTCCTTTTATCTCTGAGCTTTGGTTTCCTCGTCTGAAGTGATGGTTATTCCCACCAACGTCCCTCCCTGAACCAAGATTATATAGTAATTATAACACTAAAACTACTCTAGAAAAATACAATACAGAATTAAGAACATTTTGTCACCACCTAGACCATCCAACTCTTAACCCAATAAATACACTGGTGAAGAAAAGGAGTCAAAGTGACGGTAGCGAAAGCTAATTACCATCTCTTATCTACTGACTTGTTAATTCACTGAGTAATTCCACCACTCAAGTCTGAGGCACTACCTGTAAGAAAAAAGTGTTTGCTAAAGGAGTACTGCACATTTTTTCTAGGTCAGTTTCAAATCAGCGTTTTGTGGATACTTAGTGTTATTTCTGTAGTCTATTTTTATACAGCTTCTGTTTCTGTATTTTAAATGGGTTCAGAATTTACAGCTTCAAAAACTAAGTATGAACCATGGAGAAGGCCATAAGGACGAAAATGTTTTAGAAATTTGACAACTGGTTAATTTGTTAGACCAACAAATTTGGAGTAAGTTTTGTAAGTCTTAGTTCATTTTCAAAACGGATTGGACTATCCAAACTTCCCCAGATCACTCTGGGGAAAGTCAAGATTTGGATCAGGACCTGTAATCAGCTTCACAACACTACCTTGCCATTGTTGCTAAGTCCCTTCCCACTCTAGACCAGAGCTGCTCAGAACATGTCCATGAAATAAGGAACCTGTAACTTACAAATCAACATTTACTGCTGCCTTCACTGAGAAAGTATTATTACCAAAACAACGTCAGGTGGGGTTAACAGTGCAGAGTGACAGTTGACTGACTTCCTGGCATGAGCTCCTTGTATCACTTCTCCTATTATGGGGATAAGCTCATAATACAATCCTAAAAAAATATGTCAGTTGTACAGTTTATCAGTGGTACAATTTCAGTTGTATAAAACAACATACAAACCACAGAAAAACAGTTCCTGGATTGGCAGCTGGCCTGCTCTAGATCATCCTCTAGAAGCAGAATCACATAAGTAGAGCTCACCGGAGATGGTCTGCTGTATTGTTGAGGGTAACAATGTAGAAAATCACATTGGAGCGAGTGTTGTGCTGAATGCTGTTTATGGCTGCGATGGCCCCCCCAAGCCTGTCTTCAGTTGCAGCGATGACCACAGGAATCTCCTCTTGTCTCCCATCTACTGCATATCGGAGAGCATTTGGAACAAAGTCTATAGGTTGAGGCCCCACAATTCCTGAATCTGAAAACACAAGGAAGGCACTGTGATACAATCTCATGGGCTTTTGAGTCCAAGATATGGAAAAAGGGAAGGTAAGGATTATGGTTCTGATTTACCTCATTCTCCCCCATTAAACTGAAGCATACAGCCCTGAAACTTTCCCTGTAAGTAAACAAGCTTTTGGAAAAGTGGAGGAAGCATTTTTTAAAATAGGCTGACAGCACTCTGATACACTACTGGTAGGAAAATAACAGAACCTGTTAGAATGTATTGTGGCAATTTGTATCAAGAGTTTCCTAAGGACAAAATCTGAAATATAATCAAAAGAAAGAATTTTATTTAAATTGTGAAAACGTAGCAGCAAACTAAATATTTTTTAAGTCACAAATCACAAGTAGGCATGAAACCAATTGAGTGAGTCACAATCAATTTATACAGAAAAAGTTTCTGGATTGCAATAGAAAACTGAAGTAGAGGCCGGGTGTGGTGGGTCACGTCTGTAATCCCAGCACTTTGGGAGGCTGAGGCAGGTGGATCACTTGAGGTCAGGAGTTCAAGACCAGCCTGACCAACATGGTGAAATCCTGTCTCTACTAAAAATACAAAATGAGCCAGGTGTAATGGTGAATGCCTGTAATCCCAGCTACTCGGGAGGTAGAGGTTGTGGTGAGCCGAGATCATGCCATTGCACTCCAGCCTGGGAAGCAAGAGGAAAATTCCATCTTACAAAAAAAGAAAACTGAATTAGAATACCAAAGAAAATACAGTGTATCACACAAGGAAACTTCAAGTACTGTCCTATATACATTCTTGCCTTTTTTTTTTTTTTCCATTCCTCATTGAACCCTGGTATTTACTATGCGCCAGGCAGTATCTAGGCACTGGGGTTACAGCCATGAATAAAACATCCCTAACTTTCTGATAGACAGCCAATAAGTAAATACATATGTATGTACATGTGCTACATGTAATGTATTTCCTATTGTAGGGCTGCCACCAAAAAGTCTTAAAACTGTTGTACCACAAGATGTTATCCTGTGGAAACATTAATAGACATTAAAATTATGTATGAAGAGTTTCTACCATCACAGTGACATGCTTATGATATACAGAAAAACACATAATGTACAGTTTATATATAGTACAATCTCAACTGTACAGAAAAAAGATGTGTAGGAAAAAACTGGAAGGCACTAAGCCAAAAATGTAATAAGTTACCTTTAGGCAATGAAATCATTCATTCAACCAATATTTATTGAACAGCTATAGGTATCAGCCACCATCCATAGGCACAGAAGATAAAACAGTACACAAACTGCCTTCATGGAGCTTGAATACTGTTGTCTTTTTTTTTTGAGATGAAGACTCACTCTGTCACCAGGCTTGAGTGCAGTGGCGTGATCTTGGCTCACTGCTACCTCCGCCTCCTGGGTTCAAGCGATTCTCCTGCCTCAGCCTCCCGAGTAGCTGGACTACAGGTGCATACCACCATGCCCAGCAAATGTTTGTATTTTTAG